ATTTAACCTTGGGGAATAACCTTTACATTGTTTTATCTTTGTAAACATTCACACACTGCTCTGATGATTATTTTCTTGATGCTTCATTGGATTCTACAAAAAGAGCAGAAAAAATAGAAAAACACTCATGATGTCATCAAATTGCTTGTTTTTTGCTATATAACACTCAAAACACTGCAGAAAAAGACAATGGGACCAAAAATGTTTAGTTTTTTTTTCGGATATTAAAATGATTGCAGATTATGTTTCTTCCATATGCTAACCCTTTCAGAAAAAAACAAGAGTAGACTTCTCAAATCTCTGATGCAGAATCAAGCAATGAATCACCTGCAGGACACATCACAACTGATGGAGGAATGATGGGGCTACAGAGCGGAGGTGGAGTTTTAGCCCCGGACTGACCTGAATCTATCAGGAATATTAAATACCTCATGAGGCTGAACGGATGGATCACAAAGACTCCGCTCTGCAGCTGGCGCATGCACTCCTTCTCCACGGCCATCTCGCTGCCGTACACGTACAGCGACTGCCGGTTCAGCTGCGGCAGGAGCAGGGCTCTCCACCCACAGGTGGCGGTGGTGCATCTCGCCATGGGACCTTTTACTTTCTCCATGACCCAGCTCTGGTGCCGTCCGATCAGCCGAACGCGCAGGCCATCCTCCTCTCTCCCCTACTGTGATGCTGATCCTGATGCTGATCCTGATGCTGCTGCTGCGGCGGCTGCTGCTTTTCAGGAGCCTCTGCGAGTACTGACCTCCCCTCTCGGTCGCAAGGTAATTTTTCATCAAGGCTCCCAACCTCCGGGCTTATTGAAGCTTTGTGGAGCGATGCGAGTGGATACCCGCCTCTCTGCTCGGTCCCTCCTTCTCTCCGTCCCTCCCTCCCTCTCCCTTTCCATCTCCCTCCTTCTCCGTCTCCATCTCCCTCCCTCTCCGTCTCGCTTTCTCTATTTCAGCCCCCACCTCACCGCTCCATGTCTTTTCTCTTTCTCCCGGCTCATCAACTATTCAGTGACTGTGTCTCATCCCCACATGAATCAAGCCATGTCAAGAGGGTAAGGTCGAGCTCACATTAATACTGAACACAATGGCATGTGTGTGTGCGTGTGTGTGTGTGTCAGGTGTGTGTGTGTGTGTGTGTGTGTGTGTGTGTGGGGGGTGCGTGGGGGTGTGCGTGGGGGTGTGTCAGGTGTGCGTGTGTGTGTGTGTGTGTGTATGTGTGTGTGTGTGAGGGTGTGCGTGGGGTTTTGTGTGTTTGTGTGTGTATGTGTGTGTGTGTGTGTGAGGGTGTGCGTGGGGGTGTGTCAGGTGTGTGTGTGTGTGTGTGTGTGTGTGTGTGTGAGGGTGTGCGTGGGGGTGTGTGTTGTGTGTGTGTGTGTGTGTGTATGTGTGTGTGCGTGGGGAGGGGATCACAGTTGTTGCCATGTGACCCTGACATCTGGCAGCGTGGGCAGGGGTAAGTTCAGGATGGGCCATCTCCAGCAGGATGTAATTAAACACGGTGCCTTGTTACCTGATGCTGTAGATATGTTCGCTGCTCTCAGCCAGCTCCTGTGTTGTTTGTTTGCACTGTTCACATCAGAACCACAACAACAAACAGCAGCTGAAATAAATCATTCCAAGTAGAGCGGAGAAGATAAGATAAAAAATCGACAGAAAAATAATTGACAATTATTTTGACAATCTTTCAACAGAGCAGCATCCCGGCAGAAGCAGTGAAAAGTGTTCAATGTTCTCTGCTTTCAGACACTGAAATTGTCCAATTGTAAATGAAAATATTTTTGGACTTCAGGTCAAACACAACAAGACCATTTAAGATGTAAATGTGGCTCTGTGAAGTTTTGATGGCCACATTTCTACCATTTCGTTGATGTTTTATTCAGGAGCAACTACTGATTTATTGAGAATATGGTAATGAAAATGTATGGTAGCTGTCGTCCTGATTTTAGGATCATGACCTGAACTGGATATTGCAGCAATGTTTGAAAAATGAAAATAGAAGGATGTAGGGGCAAGGGGATTAACGGAGGGATTAACTGAGGGCAGTAAGGTGCATTACTGGAAGTTTAGTGCATGAGATATGTCTCATACTGTGAGGGACATTTTGAAAAGATATCTTTAATTTATAAAACATTACACGAATGCATCCCTCTTATATTCACATCAAATTCACTGGCATGGTTTTGTTTACCGTTCAGAGTCTTTGGGAAATAGTCTTCAGGCCATAGTGACGTTGAAGAGGATTAAGGGGTTTAGTAAATTGTTGTATAACATATCTATTCTAGATTTCATTCAGGTACTTGTTACAAATAAATCCAAGGTACATTGCTCAATTTGCAACCACAGAATGACGACAAATGAACAAAAAGGTTGGTTTTTCATTGCCTTCCAAAACAACGGTTTCCTGGTCTTTTAAAAAACAATGAATTGAAGAGTTTTCTGATACGGTTATGGTCTGGTTAGGCAAAGAGACAAAAACACTCTTTGGTAAGGTTAGGAAACAATTGTGGTCCTCCTGGTTAAAAATATGTAATGATTCTGTGTTGGCTACTGTTATTACTTGCACGACCACAAGAGGTAGCACATGTCAGAAAAAGATTTATATATTCTCAAGTGTTCAAACCAATAAATCAATATTCAAGTCTCTTAAGAACATAGCTGATCCGGTAAAGTGGTACTCAATAACCAAAATAAGTGACGTGTCCGTGTTGTTAAGCATGGGATTTTTGCTTTGTTCTTTGCAAAAAACATAGATACAGACTTTTTGTTCCCTACAACAAAAATATCCTCGGATGACTTCACATGTATCTACTCTAATTATATTTAGATTGTTCTAATATTGCATCTTATGTGTTTCTCAGCCGTTTTTGTATGCTGTTGTTTTTGCACTTTATGGTAATTTGATCATTATTTTGTTTTCCACCAGGACAGGGAAACACAATGTAAGTCCTCTATGCACTGCCCTGTGTATAGCTAGATGAGCATAAAGTATATTTGATCTTTGTCCTTGTCACAATCCTTTATCACATAAGCTACGATGCGATCCAGTAAAAAGAAATTTGAGCACTGCACTTACATTGTTTTGGAGTTTTTTGTTTCTTATAGGTTCTCTGTTCCAACAAAGCTTGTTAGAGTATACAGTACATGGGAGATTATGTATTAGCTGCATATCCTACTCTGATTAAATAAAAATAGACAAAGGGTGCTTACACTTTCTCCTTGGCGCTGCTTTATGCACACAGGAAGAGGAGATGGCAGACGATCAGGACAGGTCCTCTCCAGGTGCCAGATTTCTACACAGAACACAAAAAGGTATTTCATTGCCTCTTGTATAATTAGCAAATTGTACCAAACTATATGGATTCAACTCCTGTGGAAAGACTGCGTATGTTTCGATTGGAGGTGCATATCCATCGCACAGGACGGAGAAAATGAATAACATGCTTAGCTGCTCATTTATCTAGCACACAGCTGGCCCTCAAACTATAATAAGTGACTCAGTGCCCCTGCTTACGCACTGCTTTGCTTTACTGACGCACTGTAGACCCAGTAGACATGTGAAAAAACACATTTCTTCAGTATTAGGGCAGTAATAAGTATTTTTCATATTAAAAAACTCCCAAGCCACTGAAGTGTATATGTTCTTCCCACCAGTAAATACATTTTACATCACAGTATGCCAAAGTAGCTGCAAAACAGCAGTATTTATTAGGGCTGCACGATATTGGAAAAAACTGACATTGCGATATTTTTCTTCCCCTGCGATATATTTTGCGATATGAAAAAATGCAGGAATTTAAGAAAAGACGTTTTTTTTTTTTCGCAAACCATCCTTTCTTGAACTTTAAGGCTATACAATTGATATTTTTTTAATAATATTTAACCGGATGAAAGATTTTAGTCACAGACTTCTGGATCTTAAGTTATCAGAGCAACAAGCTAGCTCGGTTATCCTGCTGTGATCTGATCAAGAATGATTGTGATTGGTGATTTGCTGTGCATGCAGAGCCTGCATGTCACTCATTCATACCGCTGACATGAGAGGCGCGCGAGTTTTCCTTTTGTAGTAAGCAGCAAAATAATTGTAACATAACGTGTTTGAGTTAATTTGCCTATAATATCGCACGTCCTAAAAAAGAAAAACAATTAAAAATGTTAAATGTAAAAATAGATCGCACGTCCTGGGATGTGAATATCGCATAATGCGATTATCGTCACGACACGATATATCTTGCAGCCCTAGTATGTATGTGATGTAGCTGATGTTAATTCTCTCATATTGTTCTTTATATGTTTCTTTTATCAAAACAATGTAAACACACTTAAACATTTACATATTTTTGATATAAATTCTGTAAATCCACATCATAAGTAATTTCTGTTTATTTGTATTGAGTTGTACAGATGTAGTCTTTTAAACTGTAAATTAAATGTTTTGTTTGACTACAATTATGTTGTGGTTATTTCTACTATATAGTAATGTCCTGTCCAGCATTTGTTAAAAAAAATACAACATTAGCTTTACTGTAGGTTCACTTTTTTATAACCCAATTAAACCAATTTGAGATTCATGTTTAATAGAATAAGGAAACTGGTGATTAACTGTGGCACATGTAAGACTCACTTTCAAGAGGGAAGGGATAAATATATGAAATCGTTCAATCAAAAAAAGGAGTTTGAGAAATTAATAATTTGAGTTTATTAATGTTAGCTTTAAGCTAGTTTTGTTTCAGCTAGTTTAGTTTAAACTAACATTATTTGACTTTGAATTGTTTTCATTAAGGGCAAAAATAAACTTTTGTGCGCCAAGAAAACAGCATTTCTCTTAAGGAATCACAATAAAACGTCATATTTAAAAACGTACCTTGTGTATATATATAAAACATATATGCTCTGGACTTCTGTCGAGGCATGTTTTGCTTCATTATTAGCTCTTAACTCTCTTCCAGCCGTTGTGACAGAATAATTACTACATTTCCCAGAAGTCTCTGCAGCCGGTTTTAATCACGTGACATTGTATAAAAAGCGAACACGTGAGCTTCCTACCATCGTGTTACTTTCCTTTTGAAGGTGAAATCATCTGATAACTTGAGCCTCCAGCCTCCACAAAAGTAAGTAACATAACGAAGATCTCTCAGCTGCTGTTTTAACTGATACACTACGCTTTATGTTACCTTAAATTCATTATTTATCCGCCATGACAACGCTTACATAAACGTGTGTGTTAGCAGCCGTTAGCAACTGAACGTTATGCAATGTCTCTTAAAGCCTTTTTATGCTGTCTGTGGCTAAAGCTAGCAACATTAATGTACAGCAAATCACATGATGTTTCTGTCCAGGTGTTTCCTCTACTTGAACGCATCATAGAGGTTTTTTATCATTTCAAAATGAACGTGTTTTGTGCTGCATTTGTGCCGATGCTGTCATCTAAGCTAACGTTACATCAGTCCAACCCTTCAGTGTCACTAGTCTTTCAAACATTATTATCATTACCTACATTTTGTTTTGAATCACTTTTGTTGTTGTTCTTCCAAATACTAGTTAAGCAGAGTGCATAATCTTGCTCTGTACTTTTATTGGTGGATGGGTTTATAATTTCTTTGAATTGTTGGTTTTTAAATATTTCCTAGTTCCTGGTTCTAACCATACAGTCTATGGTTCTAACTATGCTTTTACATAAATTGCAAAACTTAAGTAATATGCAGCAGCCCTGCCATGCTTTAAACGGATATAGGAGCAACTTTATTATGTGTTCAACACATTTGATATAATATAGTTTATGTCTAACCTTCTGCAATACAATTCACACACTGAATTTAAATGTGGACAAAAATGCTCTCTTTTGTACAGGAAGACCTTGCATACTTAATTGGGTTGTATGTAACATTACACTTGTCCAAGACCATTTTATTGTAGCTAAACATTTATTTACAGCTGTTTTTCTATTAAATGTCAAACTTTAGATTTGGATCTAATGCCTTTAGCTCCTTCTGCCTATCCTGAAGGTCAGCCTCTGTGAATTGATGAGGGCTTGTCGGTTTTTTTCTTTAGAAACTAGTTATAGCCCCAGGAACAAAATCAAAGTGAAAACACTGTTCTCTAATGTCAGTGCCTTTCAAGTCTGCTGCCCAAGGTATTAAAAGAATCTGATAACTATACATTTATAGTTTCAGCCTGAAGATGTCGACCGTGTCTGCTGCCAGCCTGGAGGCTCCTGCTGTGACCGAGGCCCCTGAGCAGAAGAAGCCTCTGAAGGCATGCTGTGCTTGTCCAGAGACTAAGCAAGTCAGAGATGCTTGGTAAGTAACTGTCCAAAGAATAAAACTGCTTCTCTTTCTCTGTAACAAAAAAATTCTTAATTTCAGTTTTTGATTTTCCTGCAGCATCATTGAGAAGGGAGCGGAAAGCTGCACTGAGCTGATCGAGGCACACAAGGACTGCATGAGGGCTCTTGGATTCAAGATATAACTACTCCATTTTGTGTGTGTGGTAAGCATCAAACTGCATGTTGTCTATCAACTTATTTGCAAGTATAATTTCTTCCTGCTGGGTCATTTGTAACCCTGAGCTGTCACCGATTCATCTTTTGTGTTCAAGACAGACTAGAACACCAGTGCAGTCATTATAATCGAGTTCAATTTGAGAAAGGATTAGTGTTGTCAGGTGGCATACATGTGCTTTTATGTGGGAACATTCACCACAAATTTCCAGAGTCAATTGTGTTTTCTGTTCTTAAGACACAGCAGCATGGCTAAAAGTAGCATGGAAATATTTGCAGTAGTGCGAAACGCTGCATATAATGAACGGTTCACCCTCAATTACCTTTTTTGTTATGATACTAATGAGACTTCCTGCAGGCCATCCTAGGCCTTCAAAACAACCTGACCTCATTTGTGTAAAACTGGCTGCTCAAAGTCTGAAAAAGAAATGCAAACTTAAAAGTGAATCATGGCTTTGATGCACATAGTGAACGCAACATTTGGTAAATCTAAAAGATGCAATTACAAAAAAAATCTGCGTTTTGCTTTGTGTGACCTCTAAACTTTATATATTGCTTCCATTTCATTAGATGCTTCAAAAATATACCCAACAGAAATTGTACAGTCTGTTTTTTGTTGTTGTTGTGTTAGACTGTACTGATGGCACACTGCTGCCAAATGTAGCTTGATAACCTTAGGTCAACTTGAATAAAATCAGTCTGGTGTAAGTGAGCATCTGCCATTTTGTGAACCATGTAAATGCCCAACTTAATTTAATTAACTCCAAATAGTAGCACTAATGAAGCCATTTGTATTCACTAGGCTTTACAGTGTCAAGTTTCCTCTTTCTTTGTCTCCTGGTTAATGCTGATTTCTTCCATTTGTTTTGCACATACTGCAGTGTCGAACTAGAAAATCATGTAATGAGTGTGCTGTGAGGTGTGTGAGAATGAAGTGGGGGAGGGAGCGAGCAGAGCAACTGTCACACATGTGCTTGCGTGCCACACATGAAACATGCCTGCGGCTCGCTTCACGTTTCAGCAGCTCAATTGGCAGTCTGGCATCGCGTTTATGTTCACTCGCTCTTGTAAAATGGAGAACGTTGAAGCACTAGGCCGGAAGAAATACTACTTAGAAATTATGCTACACAGCTAAATCATTAAACATGTTTTTCACTGAATGTACAACCAGGCCTGTGTTTGCTCTGATCTCAGGGTTTATCATAAGCCTTTTTATACATTTGCAAACAACACTGAAGGTTGTTTATGCTTTTAATCATAGCTCTTTTGTTTTTTTTTCTCCTGCAGTGTGTTGCTGTGCAAGACGACCCTGGGTGTTCCCTTCTTTTTTCCCACCCCCTCCTTATTTATACCTCGACTGGAGGGGAAATGTGACGCTGCACTTCAGCTCTGGTGGCTCGATTGGCTTTCTGTGATCGTTTTTTAAACAGTTTTCTGAATTTGAAAAATGTCTGTCAAAAATTCTATATGTTGAATAAAAGTCCTATGCAACACGACGGGTTGTCATGTTTTAATGTCGATGTAATGCGCTTGCAAATGTATTCTTGGTTTCTGTATTGGCGTTCCCTTCTCTCAGTGAAAGCTTCCCCCCCCCACACAGTTGCTGTCCCCGGTATGCACTTAGACCTAAAATAACTTCTGCCCCTGCAAAGTCAATACTTGGCATATCTGCATTCTTCCCCTGTAGTGGTTCCGTGTGCCTGATAGTGGACATCTAGTTTGACACTTCCAAAAATCTAGCTGGAAATGCTAAGCTACAGCAACTCTGCAGTAGAGTTTACAGTAACTGTTTATCCTCTTAATGCCTGTCCATGTATTCCAAGGGTAATTGTGTTTACCTGGAATTGTTAAGCTTTTTAGTAGGGTTAGGGTATTAAGTATTCTAGATCATTTTGTCTGCTTCTCAAACTGTTTTGACAGTGAAACTTGAACATTTTCACCCTCTGTCTGAAACCAGAGCCCAGTCTGCTCTGGTTAGCTGGCCAGCTCTTTTGTGATTGGTCAAGAGATGTCCCGTCCCTAAGCCTATCGAGTATGATGTGTTGGAGCGCTTGACAATAGAAGCACAAGTGTTACATAATGTTACGGAAGTAAACAAACAGTTTCAGGCAGGGGGCAGTGAGTGGGAAAAAAAACTCCCTCTGGAGGGGATTTTAGCCTTTGCAGACCATTTACATGCACACAAACTTATAGCACACTACAGGAAAGGGAATAACCCAAAAATAATAATGGGGCTTCTTTAAAAAGTTGTTTGCTGAATTTCGTATGCATTTAAAAGAGGAGTGGTCCTGGCTGAGGGCAGAGCATGATATGTGAGGGGTGTTTATAGGACCACCTGAAATCTGACCTGTGCAATCATCCTACTTTTTTCCGTGTCTCATATGCTCTGACGCGCTGCTCTCCTGACAGAACAATGGACTCTCAAGGTTTAGGCAAAGTAAGAGCAGTTTTTTGTATGTACCACTGAGTCCCTGTCACAGATATTTGTTATAGTCCCTGTCCTCTCTCCCGTTTCCTGCCTCTCTCTCTCCCTCTCGTTCTGTTATGTTAAGTAGCAGGCCTGCTTTCTGTCCACCACTCTCCTCCTTGGGTTTCAATTCCAAACATGGTTATCCTTCTAGGGCCCATATCAACGCCCACCCTCCCTTATCCCTTCTCTTCCAGCTGTTGGCTCGACATTGCAGGCCGGTGGCTGAGAGAAATAGCCAGAGCGAGGGAGAAGACAGGAAGACTCGGGAGGGAAAGACTGAGGAGAGGAAGGGATAATGAGAGAAGAAGAAGAAACCCATTCCAGCTGTGTTTCGATAACAGAGCCGTGAGAACTTCTTCACATTGAGGAATTTTCCACGGCACGCCAAGGGAACAAACTTCTGACATTCTCCTGTCGGCATTTATTTATTTTTTCACAAACAAAACATCTACTTGTACATGTCGACGGGACATAAATAGCACCACAGTTCATTGGACGAGAAGTTGAATTTACTGTTCTAGTTTGGTGCATCAGAAGCCTCCTCAGCTTGTCATTTTGAAGACAAACATGAGCAACTTGACTCTGCTGGAGAGCTTGTTCTTCCCTCCTCTCTGCGATGGCTGGACCAACAAAACAGAGGGAGCCATCTACCATTTGGGCAACACCATGCTGGTCCTGGGCTACATGGGGGGCAGCGGGGCCTACGGGTGCCTCTTCATCTTCGGCTTCCTGACTCCAGCCTTCGGGTGCCTGACCCTGTGGGGCTGGATGACGATGTGCGGCCTGGACGTTTTCACCTGGAACCTCCTCCTGCTGCTGGCTTGCCTGGGTCAGATCTGCCACCTGCTGTACCGGCTGCACCAGGAGGGGATACGCAGCGAGGAGATGACCTCCCTCTACCAGGCGGTGTACCTGCCGCTGGGCGTGCCCGTCCAGGTGTTCCAGGAGATCGCAGGCGCCTTTGAGAGCAAGGTGGTGGAGCTGAAAGTAGGAGAGACGTACGCTGTGGAGGGAAAGACGCCCATCGACCAGCTCTCCTTTCTGCTGTCTGGGAGGTGTGTGTGCATATGGGAATTACGTGTTACGCACCTGTGCTACATAATGCAAACCACCAGACATGTCTCTACTCCCTACCATAATACAACACTTGATTAAAAGTAGCAACACCACACATGTAAAAAAAAAACACTACTTCTTAAACCTACAATAACATTTTTTTGATAGATACAGGCAGTGGAAACAAGCTTTTACCACAAAATCAGTTCTATCAACTTTGACACAGTGAACGTGTTGGTAAACAGTTGCTTACTTACACTTACATCTGGCAGACATTAGCATTCATTTGGAGGTGTTGCTAAGCACCTACTTCGAATGATATCAGTCCTTTAAATGGCTGTTATCTGGTTAGCAGAGGCCTACACGTACAAGTAGGATCAGGCTGTTAGTGTTAATACATTCAGTTGGTTGCTCACTGATATAATCACAGGACGGTGTAATCAAAGGACGGCTGTAGTAAATGTAAATGGACCAAATAAGGAATTTTGGTGATTGACATATAGTACGAAGACTGATACAAATTCTTAACAATACATTACTTTTCGCCCATGAGAGTTTGTGTGAAGAAGTCAACGTTGAGTTATTTTTAACAGACCTCCCATACATAAGATAAGTTACATGACTAGTTTTGCACTTATTTGAACCTGAACCATGATCTTTTCCTAGGACCAACCACGTCGTTTTTGCGCCTTACCCTAGTGAAGTGTAACTAAAAGTGAAACCTGACAAAACTGCGACCCTTTCATCATGTTTCTTATGCACCTTCTGGCCTGCTGGTGGGTGCAGTTTGCCCCTTGAAACATTAAAATGGTTGTAAAACCAATTGATAATAGTAATTTAATGGCCTGATAACATTTTAGAAGGATGGTTTATGCTACTCTATGATTTTAAGCCAAATATTCAGTTTCCTTTAGCTCTGTTTTTGGTCTCCACCAACTCTCTTGAGATGTTATTTGCTTCACTTTGTTCACCAGCTAATCTTAAACTGTGTCTGTCTGCTGTTTGCTGCTGAGCTGATAGTGTACAGGTTTCTTTAAATAACATTTTAGAGTGAGAGTAAAACTAATCAGTAAAGTTGTGCTTGTCATAACAAAACAATAAGTTGCAATATGCTAAAACGCTCCATGTGCTGAAGTGGAACTGCTGAGAACTTCATAACAATAAATAATTTGCATTGGTAATTTAAAGTGTTTTGAATCAAAGTACCACACCTATCAGAGATGTCACAGTGCACTAAGGTGACAAGTTAAACCATGCAAAAAACGTTGCTACGTTGCTCCTAATTGTCAAAATAGAACGCATATTTATATTAGATTATAATGAATGTATATGAACAATTTTTTCTTCATGAATTAACAACATGACTATATTTTGTAAGTAAAGTACAGATCCAACCCTCGTCGTCAGATAAATGCAGTGTAGCAAAAAGTAAATGATTCCCCTCTTAGATATAATGGAGTTGAAGCAGCGGTAAATGGAAATACTCAAGTATCCCAAAATTGCACTTTTAAACCTCTTAGCATCTCTTTTTCCAAACACTCAAAGAAACGTACAAACTAAAAGCTTCCCAAAGTAGTTATTGGGTATTTTATTTAACCTTTTTAATAAGGAAGACTTGTATTACTTTGCCATTTTTTAGACACAGCTATTAGTTGTTGTTGCAGGTTTTAGTGTCCCTCCAATTAACAGACAAAAGGGTGTATTTATAATAATTTTTGCACTATAGATATGTGTACACTGTAGTACTCAGTCTTAATTCATCCTACTTCCTACGGTTTTTAGGAAATCTTTTGCAGAACTAGCCTCTTTTTGGACTCTTTCATGCAGTTGGCAGAGTGTGACTGTCACAGGAAATGTATCCTCTTCATCCAAACATCCTCAAAGTAGAGCTGCATTAGATTTCACAGTCCTGGAGCCGGCACAAGAGAAATGTTGTAAACAGAGTATTTTTGGCAGTGACTCACCACTGTGTCGTCCCTCTGCTCTCTGCCGGCTGGTTACATTGTATCTTTGTACTTTAGGAACAGAGTGGATGCAGACTGCTTCTCTTTAAAAAAACATAGAAAAATTGGCCATGCTGCTCACATCTTAGTGTACAAAAAACAACACAAACATAAACGCATATCATGATTTGTGTTACGTTGTTCATGTTCAAACTCATTTATTTTATAAATATATTTAAAGATCGTCATTACTGATATGTAGTCAACATTTGTTCTTAGTTTCACTTTCCAGTCTCCTGTTTGGTATGCTGTACATGGCCACACAAAGTGACATCTCTATGTAACAGTCACACTTCTATTTGCTAGCGCTCCTACACATTGTACGTGATAGGCTCACAATCACAACAGAGCGGGCCAGCTAACCAATCAGAGCAGACTGGGCTCTGGTTTCAGACAGAGGGTAAAAAGAGGTGCTGCAGCACAGGCAGTATGAAAAAGAATAAAGAGCTTTTTAAACATTAAAGCATGGAGACATGACACAGTAGAGTCACTTAATACAAATATAAACCTGAAAATAAGTATAAAAAGGCCTCTTTAATATAATTTAACATATGCACACAGCGCAAAACAGTTTCAAAAACACAACAGCAATTTCTTCCCGGAAATCAGGGCCGACTTACTCAAGATAATTCAATTACTTACGTTCAATAGCGCCATTATTGCTTACATGCCTTCAACTCAGCCTTCCTTTTTTGTAGTAAAAAAGTTGTTGGGAGTAAATGAGTAGAAAGAAAATAGGTCATGTACTGTATGAAACTGCTGAAACAACAGCGTTCCACATGCTTTAGGATACATTCAACACAGTAGCCTACAGTCTCTGCAGCACTTTTATAGCACCAGAGTGTAAATCCATACTCCTTGTAGAGTGAAGTGCTATTTGGGGTAATAGCTGTTAATTAACACCCTTTGTTGTGAAGAGTCTAAATAAAGATTTTTCCACAAAGACAGGCTATAAATAGTTAAGAAACACTTGAATAAGCATTCCTCTAATTATAGAATACCCTATTTATGATCTTTTGCATTTTAGATTTCCTTTATTAGTTTATAGCAGTGGTGGAAAATAAGTCCACTTACCAAAGACTTTAAAGGTGGGGTATGTAATTCACTTCAGAAACACTTTTTGTTCTATTCCATGGAATGCTCTTAACTTCCCGATAGCAATGAATATATTAAATGCTTTGACAATAAATACATACAAAAACGTCATCTGTGGAAGCCGTGGCTCTGTAAAAAGCACGACCAATCATTTGAGCCAGCCCGGCTAAAATAACTGGATGGCCTACCTGCCTGTCAGCCTTCCATCTGTGCACAAACTTATCTCGTGCCCTCATTGGTCATGTGCGCGTTCGTGTGTGTTGGAGGAGGGGCTCTGTAAGGAAGGGAAGGGGCAGATTTTTTCCGGTTGTGTACTTTCAAATTCTAGCGCACTCGAGCTGGTTTCTCCAAAATTACATACCCTACCTTTAAGTGTTGACAAAGTATTTCTACACTGTGGTTTTGTATTGCATAGTTTATAGTGACTTGCAGTTAGACTTGTCATTGTTTTATCCTTTGTAGCTGTCAGTCACACATTAAATCTAGCTGCTATCTCTTTAATAAAAAACAATGCTTTATTTTTAAGAATAATTGACTTTTTTCCAGTAGACGTCAGGTGATTGACATGAAGCAGATCGTTTTCTCACTGATGTTCGCCTCACATTAATGACGTAATGCATGAAGGTTGATTTTCAGTGTGCTGGATTATCTCACTCTGCGGAAGTTATTCTTTTATTAAATAAAACTTCCTTCAGCGGGAGGAATGTCCCAATGTCCTTATCTTGGCAGAATTATATGTTAGTTAGTTTTAATGTTTATGTGTCAAATACATGTAGTGAAGTTAAAAGAAAACAATGTCTGCCTCCACAAAAGTTGGAATAGAAGTATACAATTGTATTTGGAAATTTGGATTTGAATTTGATTTTGATTTGAATTTGGAAATAGTAAAGTACAAGAATGTCAATATAGCACTTTACTAAATTAACTTATTTACTTTCAGCCACTGTACGCTTAAAGAACTCTGCAGTCTTCAGTGAAGTGGCCTTGGCAGATATATTTATTCCAAGATTGACTTGCAAAGTAATTTCAACTTTCATTATTACTTCCTAATCCCTTCTGTCTTTTAAACCTTCTTTCTGTCTCTGTCTCTCTCCCTCAGGATCAATGTATCTTTGGAGGGTCAGTTCCTGCACTACATCCACCGCCACCAGTTCCTCGACTCTCCAGAGTGGGAGTCTCTCAGACCAAACGAGGAGGGAAAGTTTCAGGTACAGGAAGTTTACTTTACTTGAGGGTTTGTAAATCTAGAATGTGGCAGTAATTGAAGGATTTGGAACAAGAAACAAAGACGTGGATATCAAGTTGTCTTTTGTTATATCGGACTCAGTGTATGACTGATAAGATGAACAAAGCAGTTGTCTTCTACCATTCACATATCCTGTTGCTTTAGATTAGCTTACTTAAAGACGAGAAGAGGTTATTCGAGGGTTAGTTGTCAGGGTTTTCAAACAGAAAGCTATGCTTATTTTTAATTAATGAGGTGTAGGCCACAACCAGAAACATGGCTGCATTTAACTGTTATCGTCCTTATAAATAAATCAGTTTACTCTCTAGTTTTTAATCAGATAAACAGTCTAAAAAACCCAAACATACTTCTATTACCACTAAATTACAAAGAAAAGCTTAAAAAACACATTTGAGATTCTGGGTACAGCATGAATGAACCCTACAATTAATTGAATCACGTGTGAATTTCGTGTTAACATTTTGTGTTAATAAGAGCTGTTAGTAAACTAGCTATTTAAATTCTAGTACACTTAAACAGATTTAAAGTTTGGACTAAACCTAGCAGCTTTCAGTCTTCATGCTAAGCTAAGCTAACCAACTGTTGGCTCTAGTTTTACCTAGTAAATGACCTATCAACCTTTGGAGCTAACTCTCCACAAGAGTGCAAATATGTGTTAAATTCGTTTTTTAAAACATAGGTTAATCAAAATTTGACAATGTTAAAGTCCATGTTTGCTAGCTTAACATGCTGCTCAGTCCAGCTGCTAGTGATCAAAAACCCCATTAGGTGCCTTTAACTCTTTGATATTAATGTCTTTCATTAATGCCCCCCAGGTGACGATGACAGCAGAAGAAGACTCTCGCTACATCTCGTGGCGTCGCCGTCGCCTCTACCTCTTGATGTCGAAGCACCGCTACATCTCTCGCTTGTTCTCCGTCATGCTGGGCCACGACATCGCCGAGAAGCTCTACAACCTCAACGACAAGCTATACATCAAGTGCGGCATGCTGCTGGACATCCGCCTGCCCAGCCTCTACCACGTGTTGGCCCCTTCCTCTCAGAGCAGCGAGGGCAGCGAGGTCAAAGAGCATCTTCATCATCAGGGAGAAGACCCAGCACCGACCTATCGGACCTCAGATCCAGACGAGTTTCAGCCCAGCCTGCAGGGACCAAGAACCCCCCACCTGGAAGACCCCCAGACCCCCCTGAACGACCGCCATCACATCCCCTGGGCGTCAGACCCCGAGCTGCCCACCGGTGAGGACTCCACCAGCCTGGTCCTGGAGGATTTTGCCGATGTGGCGGGCTCCTTAACGGATTATGGCAGTGAGAGGGATTATTTGAGGTAGAGGGGCATGGAGGGGGCTGCGGCTAACACACTGGGTCACCACTTAAGCTACATGTAAGTACCTCACCTGCACGGAGACATGGGGTGCATGCGTGTGCGTGGGGGGCTTGCAGTGCACATTTCTTACTAACCCGGCTTCAAAGTGAAACGAACACTAGTACAAAAGAACAGTTGTAATATGGGTACTTTACAGAAATTACCCTAAATGCAATAGCGGAAAATGGCTAAATTCATTCAAGTATTAAGGCTAATAAAAATGACAAGGCTAAGACTGTAATGCTAACTAACGTGCTTGCTACTTGCTATGTAGCTAACTTGATCCAGCCACTCCTGGTCCTTTCATCAGACGGGAAGCGTCCCTCCTCCCACGCTGTATCCAGTTCTTATTATACATCCATGCTCCACAGGGACGTGCACAGACATTTGGAGGGGCTATTGCTCTAAACTGGGAAAAGGGCACAATTCGTTATTCAGGCACATTTTTTGTTTTGCGGATTACGCATTATTCTTATTCTTATCCTTCTTTATCAGCGCAGTAACGGTAAGGTTTCTAATTACTTATGTATTTAGTATTCCAAAACTTAATAACAGAGATGGTCAAACTAAAGTGGTAGAGACATGGCAGAAATCCTACAATGAAGCGGGAGAGTGAAGTGTTCTCCCGTGAGAGGGTGATCAAGAAAAGAGAGCGAGCGGCCCTGTTGGGGGAGTTTACAGAGCAGATGAAAATACACAGAAAGACAGAAGCACAATTAGAACAAGTATATTTAGGTGTTTTTTTTGTATATAACTGACGGTGTCAAGAGGAAGTAAAGTCCCCTGGTTTGTCCCCTATACTCTAACGCCAGGCAGGCACATAGCCATAGGAGGCCGGAGGGCTTTCCTTTACTTCCAGCTGTCAAGGCCCTGACACACCTACCCGATTTTTGGAGTCAGAGGCCGTCAGGTCAGAGGCAGTCGGGCATTCGCGGCGCCCTACTCAGGTTGGTGTGTCCCGCACCGTCGTTGCTTTACGGCACATTTTCACACCTCCCGCGGCCGATTCAACATGTTGGCCAAAGAAATCACTCTGATTGGCTGTTGCCTCTTTTGAATGACGAATACACACTACCGCTGCCTGTTGGTAAGGACAGTTATTGCCCCTCGTCGACTGAAGTCTTTGCGGCGTGTTCGTAGGCGGGCGGCGTAGCCGACGCAGGCGACGTAGCGGACGTAAAAGTCGGGACGCCTTCGGTACGCGTTCTTTGGTCTCAGGTTGGTGTGTAGCGGCCTTAAAGGTCCCATGTCATGCTTTTCCGGTTATTACCCGTCCCCTTGTGTGTTATGAAGGTTTTTATGCATGTAAACGGTCTGCAGAATCAAAACCCTCAAAGTACACCCTGTAGCGAGTAAAACTCTAACACAGAAAATACCTCCCCAAAACGCCTCGTTGGAGATATGTCATTGTCCATTGTTTACTTCCTGGGTATCGTGACGTAGGAATGGCCAGTAGCCGCGCCCAGACCTATGACGCGATACGGTCGTGCGGTACCCGGAACCAAATGGACCAATCCGTGGAGCCGTTACGTTACGTCCGCGGAGCCGTTANGACGTAAAAGTCGGGACGCCTTCGGTACGCGTTCTTTGGTCTCAGGTTGGTGTGTAGCGGCCTTAAAGGTCCCATTTCATGCTTTTCCGGTTATTACCCGCCGTCCCCTTGTGTGTTAACACAGAGAAGACCTCCCCAAAACGCCTCGTTGGAGATATGTCATTGTCCATTGATTCTTCCTGGGTATCGTGACGTAGGAATGGCCAGTAGCAGCGCCCAGACCTATGACGAGGATAGCGGTCGCGGTACCCGGAACCAAGGATGGCACCAGCCGTGGAGGCCGTTACGTTACGTCCGCGGGAGGCCGTTACGTTAAGCCCCCCGCTGAGTTGGCAAAGTGACCAATCCACGACTTCCTCACACACGCNCGGAGCCGTTACGTTAAGCCCCCGCTGATTGGTCCAAATTGACCAATCCACGGACTTCCTCACACACACACTCAGTGCAGGCAGCTCTGCTGATCTCTCCTCCCTGGCTGCAGGCTTATAACAGACAGTTGGGATCGCGGCGAA